TATAAACGAACTCGTTCTCTCTCAGCCGGGACGGGACTACCTTATCCATAAGCCTGCATTACCTCTGGCTGGCGTTGCACAGTCCAAATGGCATAACCTTGAACTGATACAAGGGCCGGCCAAATACCGTGAACGTCGTCTTCTGCGCTCCAGAGGGATTTGCCAGAAGGCGTCCTTCAGATCAATTCCTGAAATATAGTACGTTTCTCTCAGGCGAGCTAAAATTCCCTCCACGTGTTGCGTTGGATACGCATCCTTTTTCGTGCGTTCATTGAGCTTCCTCATGTCAACGAACAGCCTCTTTTGTCCTGGTTTCTCCACAATTACTATGGGTGAACTCCAGGAGCTGTTGCTTTCTTCGTCTAATTGCAACATTCGATCGATCTCCTCGTAGGCGTACTTCTGCTTTACCGGCGACATCGGATAATGTCTTTGTTTAATGGGGACGGTGTCATCAAATACTTCGATGATATGCTCCATTAGGTGCGTCCTCCCTAGGCCAAGTTCCGAAAAGGACGGAAATAACTTTTTCACTGGTTCAAGTTCAGCTAGGTCCTGCTGAGATAGCTCAATCTGTCCTTCAACACTTGTCCTCAGCTCTGAGACAACCGCTGGTGCCACCCCAAACGTATCCCAGAAATCAATTCCAAGGTAAAGTTTTTGCTGAAGACTTAGTACCAAGTAAATAGTCATGGGCATAGTCTTACACCTCCATGACATTGTAACGACGGCTTTACCGATCAGCGCTTGCAACTTCCCGTCTACTGTCTTTAGGTTATTGGTCATCCTCTGCAGCTGGTTTGACAGCTTGTGTTCCCAGATCGACCCGGAGCGACCGACCCAAAGCAGCTAATCGACGCCCCGCTGTCAAGTAAGCCCCTGCATACGTACGCCTTCAACTTCTACTTGAACATATGATCGCTTATCCACTGTATCTCGTATGACTGTCTCCTCTCTTAGTTCCTTCTTCCTATCTCGCGAACGCTTACGTACCTTTAAAATCTTACGCCAGTTTGTACCCATAGCAGCTTCTGCTAACCCAGCCTCTACCTGTGACGCTCCCGAATATTCGTTCCCTCACTGCGTTATATCTTTCCAGTCTTTCCTGCAGCGTAAGGAAAGTTGCTATCTTGACCTCCGAATTCAAATTAGGAGGGCGTGCTAACATCTTTTGTGGTGTTACTTACCCCTCCCGCCCCAGTCTGTCCGTTTCTGCACCTCCAGAGTGCTGCCTCTATGCCAGCGGTGTTATCTGGCTGACCTTCCTAAACCCACCCTGCAATGGTCGACTACGGCCAATTATCGTCGACCCCAATCCTCAATGAGCCCTCTTTACAACCCCTAGTCCATTCCACCCTTCCGTGTCACGTCCGTCCCTATCGCATCTGGAAAAATCAGTGGCACATTATGTTCACCTTTAACAATTCATGATGATTTATTCACACCTTTCAGAGCTAATAATTCACGTTGGTCTATCCATATCTCTGGTGTCTTTTACAAACTAACAACTTACGAGTTACTTAAAACTACCCGGGCCTGTTCAAGAGGCCTAACCACTCTCTGATATGCATAATCCTATACAGTGATTTAAAGTTATGATCTTGCTACTTAAACGTAACAACAATAATAAATAATACGAAAATCAAAGAATTAACGCTAGGTATGGCCAATTCAAAAGATCTCACGTCACTTCTGTTGAAGGCCAACCAAGAGAATTAAAACTTGAAGAAAGATAGAGCTAACCAAATAGAGCATGAAAAGAAAGGTCAAGGGTTGCGATTTCGCTCAAAACGACCCACCAACACGCGCACCTACCACCCTAGCGAGACGTCTTGCACAGAAGAGCTAAATTATGCTTGGGATATGCGTTCGCTCACCCCTGTTTTTCCATTCACCATAAGTTGCAGATTACAAAAATAAATCTAAATTAATACATCTGAGATCCCACGATTACAGGTGCCAATTAACATTAATTTATCTGGCCATGTTTGAAGGGGCTTTAACCACTTCACCCTTATGGATGGGCTTTAAGTCAAAAAGAAAACGTGTATATCTAACTGCTTACTGTTAGCGATTACCAGGCCTCTAGCGATTAACACCAGGTGAAACTCGCTACTCAGGCCTGCTTATATGCTTAACTATAACCAACGCAAATAAATGTGTCTTAAAACTAAAAAACCTGGGACGGCTGGCTGGCCGATAGCCGTATCTCTGACAACACACCACGCTTATTCTCGTTCAATTTCTTTATGTCCCTTTCGCTTGCGGTTACGGCGAGAGTTTTTTATATA